AAGAACGTCTGCAACTGGCCTCCGGGGGATACTTTTGCCACCCCGTGTTGGCACGGAATAAACTCGGCATAGGAAAGGTGAATTGGCAAGCTTTGGATAGAAACACTGTAGTCAAACGAGATCTCGTGAACAGGTTAGTGATTATCTGCACGCTTGGATTTAAAGAATGAGCAAACCCTTCCAAACGCGATCAGGGCCGCTCACACAGCTAATAGACCAGCAGCGTTTACCCGAGCACTCAACTCGGCTGTCGGCGCCTATACAACCGCGACGCCACGATAGAGTAAGCCACGGCCTTAAGATAATAAATGATTAATCGATGCCAGGGAGCGTACACTGTGTTGGAGAACGAATCATGCTAGAGAGCGCTTCTTCGGACACGCGCTCGCAGGAAGGGCTTCACCTTAAGGTCACTGCTAAGAAACAGTGCAGGCAAGGGCAAGGCACAGCAAGAATGTCAGTGGTTGCTTAGATACGCTAGCGACTGGCGTAGAAAAAGCCAATGCCAAGATAGCCTGGAGCGGCCCCGTGTTCTGGATCTCTCTGCGCGTCCGATCGTAGGTGTGTTGCCGATGGGACTAGCGAAGGCATGTACTCCCACTACGCATGGAGGCATGCAGACCGGTTGGAGTGAACCAGTCTTGAAAAGTTCCTACATAGTCCCGGGACTAACATGATGCCGAGGCTGAGATTTACGGCGGAAATGGCCATGAAGCGCACAGGAACATCGGGATGCGTGATGTTTCAGGCCAAGCACGACTCCGGACGGGCAGGACCGCGGCAGAGGACTACACGCTATACCTTTCGGACAGACTGGACCCGTTCCCTAGGAGCTCATGGTTAGCTTCAGTGCTTCGTCCACTGCCTGGACACCAGCGACAAACTGCCCCGCCCTGGTAGCTTCCAGTGTTCGCCCCCGAGCCGTCCTACTTTCGATATCTGACCCTATGCAATCTCCATTCAATAATGCTAGGTCGCCCAGAACAAACATGCTCGGGTTCTAGCCCCGCCCGGACCCAGCTGGCATGGTGCTTTCGGCGCGACACGTTCAGAACAGGCGAGAACACTCTAGGGAGGGGCGTTTAACTCCAGTGCCCAGAATGGGGTCACCCACGATGGAAGGAGTTTAGCGATTATGTCCGGATAGCGTATCCCTTGCCTTACCTACTGCCACCCCTGACGAGTGCAGTCGGCGATGAATAAAATACACAACTGACTAGTCTAGCACTCGCGGGCATTGTCTTCAGTCAAGAGTAGTAATTGGAGGAATACTTTGTGAAGACCTTCGTGCCAGAAATATTATAAAGAAGACTAGCTCAGTACTAGGGACAAGAAGAACAAAATAGCGACAGCAGATCCTTACGAGCAGTGTTTACCGCACTGTCATGATGTCTAAAGAATTAGAGAGAATAAGGTTGCAGAATATATTGTCAGAAATACCTCACTGCGGAGATGAGCTGCACCTACCGCCACCGGACACTTGCCAATGCTCCAAATGCCGCAGGGCCATGAGCTTGCTGGCCAAGGGCAGAGGCTAGGACTCGGAGCCCCATTTTGCACCCCTTGCGGATAATGGCGTGTATTGCTCAGAGTTTTCGAGAGCGAACGAGTCCCATAGCCTCAGTCCGCGATAAAAGCCACTGATGTATCCTGCAGATTATGCATAGTAGGCACGACGCCACTTGAAGAATGATCATTTGCCAGGTCCACTAAATTAGAAGCACAGTGAAGTGCTAATTGCTGATAACAAGGACGTGCAACCCACTGTGAGTAGGAGAGCAAATGTCAGGGGATTTGGTCACCGATGTGATCACGAACTGATGTATGTCCCACCTGGGCTTAAACAGCTCAGTTCGATCACGCGTGGAAGTGCTCGTGCACCCATCCTAGTGTACGTTCTCAGAGTACAGATATTCTCCGACCTCGGAAGCGGTGTCTTCTTACTGAGCCCCTCACCGGGCAACGCGCGGCCAGTAAAGTGTCTGTGTTCATGACAAGAGGCGTGATGGTACAATCCTCGGGTAAGAGCTGAGGCACCGGTTAGCCACAAGGGACTTGACCTGCTGGCTGCCTCCTCCCCTCTCCTTTGCCTCGGGGGCCCCTCGTCGCCTGGATTCCGCCGCTGCGCTTCTCGATCACCCCCTGCTTTCTCTCACGCCCGATCACCATAGTCCCTCTGATCCCTGCCCTGGGCTCCGTTCAATAGTCGGGCCTGACAGGCTCACTTCCTTGCTCCCCTAGCGTGGGGACCACCCCTCGCCCCTCCCCTATGTACTGCCTCCCGAATTCGTAGCACCCTGTCCCTCCCTTCCTCCCCAAGCTAGTTTGCGGCAAACTCACTCCCGGCTCCTTCAGCCCCTTCATCAGATTGCTAGTTTCAGTGGATACAGTGGTTTCCTGGGCGATAGCTCCGTGCTGGGGGTACTCTTCATAATGTCCATCTTCGGGGGTCTGCGGACCACAGACAACTTGGGATTCTGCTCAGCACATCTGCTGGGATGGTGGTGCTAGGGGTCTCTTGCAGTGCCATCAGAAGGGGAATGGGAGGTTTTTTTTTTTTTTTTTTTTTTTGGGTGGGGGGTAATTAGATAGTTTGGGGGTGGTAATTGGGAATAAAGATTGATAGAAATGTTATTAAAGGTATGCAAATTTGTTTGTATGAGAACAAGAATGAAATGTGCAATATATATGGAAAATAAATAAAAATTTAAATCAAAAAAAATCAGAAGGGGAATGGAGCACAGTGCAGACGTGTCCTCTTCTTCTAGTAGTGATGAGATGACCACCTTGCCATCAGGAGTGAATGTGATAGAGGCCTGGAGCCTAGATAGCACATCAGCTACTAGGAGATTCAGGGGACACGTCAAAGACACGACGAACCGGGCCAGCAAGTCTGGGAATGGACCGACCTGTAAAGGTTGGGTAAGAGGATTAGACCGTGGGGTTCCATCTACCCCCACACAGGATATGTCTATGTCAGAAAGATATGACTGGTCTGGCAGGTCTTCTGATCTGATCACACTCCTGGCTGCACCTGTGTCAATTAAAAATATTGTTGAGTGCCCTACAATAGGTAAGGTCACTTTTGCTAGTGGGCCCCCTGAACCCACTGAAGACACTGCCAAGATAGGGGATGACACAGGCTTGCCCACTTCCTAGCGCAGAAGATCCAGGCTATCCGCGCTGGGCCCAGGGGCTTGACGCTGCTGTTGTGACTGTTGCTGGTTTTGTGTGTCCTGGTTCCACTGTGGCTGTCAACGTTTGGGAAGGGCTCTGCAGTTCCTCTTGTAGTGCCCGGGGTGGCCACAATTGAAGCAAATGGGCTTATTTTCTTTCGAGGCCATGGCCAGGTGTGTGTCCAGGGGTCTGCCACCATAATGGGGGTGGACTTCTTGGTAGCTTGTGATGATTCAAGGCCTTTTGCCACCAACAGCAGAGTGTCTAAGTGCACCATACGATACTCAGGCCTAGCCATAATGAGACCCTTCCATATTGGTTCCCTCAGCCACGCAACAAAGGCTGACAGATCAGCATCTGATTATGGGCTTTGTTGTATGTGCTGAATCCCAGGTCTGAGAAGACCTGGGACAATCTGGTATAGAATTTTTCTACTGAGTCTGCCTTATCTTGGGTAATATCTTGAAGGGTGGTGGCTTGATCGGCCAGTCTTTCTTTCGCCCAGTCATGCAGTTGCGTACAAAATTCCACTCCAGAGGAGAAGGCTTTGTCATTGACAACCCAGGTGTCATTAAGGCTTCGTGCCATTATTGGCCAGTATGAGTCTCCTGCCTTTATCTCACACAGACTGACTAGATCTCTCCAAATTGCCAAGTATGTCTTTTGGATCTGAGCCATCCTGCGATAAAAGGGCATGGGCTGCTTTTCAGGGTCTGGCAATGTGGTCACCAGGGAAGAGGACTGGGACGGAGTAAAAATAACATACAGCACCGGTGCATCTGCTGGGGTGTGGAGTCTTCCTGTCTGAGGAGTCCTTCCTGTCGCCTGTGACCTAAAAGGGGCATCTGAAGAAGCGTATGCGGATAATGTAGGAAGTTTTGGACCTGCGGCCTCCTCATCCAAAGAAGATATATCTGACCAGGTTGACCCTGAATGCAAATGTTTGCTCCCTTTTGGTCTATTGGGGACAAAATTGCCTCTCGCGGGACCAGTGGTCGTGTCAGTTTCAAGGACTGGCATGGTGGGGACATGCAGCACATCCGGCGGTACGTAGAATGTACCATCGGCTTGTAAGACTGGGTAGAGGCGGCTCACTCGAGACATAGGCCTTCCGGATGTCTGATTCGGTGTACCAAAATGGCCGCCTCCAGGAAGTGTACTGGGCTGGGCAGGAAGTGACAATACAGGTGCAGCAAGATGGCTGCTATCAGGAAGTTCACTGGGCTGGGCAGGAAGTGGCAACGCAGGTGCAGCAAGATGGCCACCGTCAGGAAGTGCACTGGGCTGGACAGGAAGGGCAGGGGAAAGGGCAGTAGACGAAGGGCAGAGCTCAGTGTCTGCAGACCAAATGCCATGATAGGGTGGTGGGTGGTCCTTTGCAATATTAAAACGTTGGTGGTATGCATAAACAGTTTTCCCTTCCTGTTGCAATACCTGTTCTGTCCACTGATCTTTGTGGATAGCCTTGGCTACATTATACTAGGCTTCTGCTGTCTTCAGCAGATTATTGTCAACTAAGATACCTTTCTTTTCTTCAATTAGTTTCCGCCATTCTTCCGGCTGTAGCTGAATGTCCTTATCTTTTAACCTCCTTGGCGGTATGATTCCTTCCGATTTTTTGTGCTGAAAGCGGTACCATTTTTTCGCATGGAAATAGTTTTTTATTGTAGGCTGTAATTTTTAGGAAAATTTCCCCACAAATCATTATCACTCAATTCTGTAAGTGGTTCTGATTTACTATCGCTGTTCTCTAGCCGGTCTAAAACCGCTTTTGACGTAAAGGGACGCTTTTTGGACGCCATGGACTTTTCTAAGTTTCCAGGCAGAAAGAACAGACAAAATGCAGGCAGGGCACAGGACAAAAACACTAGGGACAATATGTATGTGAAATGAGATGAAACAGCAATGTTTTACTATTTAAAATTGAAAAAAAAAAATGACATTTTTTAAATTTTTTAAATTTCCCGCCGCTGGCGGCGCCCGTACGTCCCGACGTCATGGGGACCGGAACACATCGGCCGGAGGAGATGGCCGGGGACGCTGCAGCAGGGGGACACATCGTGGGAACGAAGGACAAGGTAAGTGCTGCAGGGACCCCCAGAGCAGCGCCGCATGGTAAGCCCGAGTGTAGCTCGGGGTTACCGCTTGTGGTATAGAAATTTTACCCCGAGCTACATTCGGGAAAACTGCCAGGGAGGTTAATCCCACACACTTTTGCTAACTTAACTAATTTCTTCACATACTGCTCCCCCTCCGTCTGTGCAATCAGTTCACTTGCTAATATTCCTTTCTCTGGTCTTATCAGCTGCTGACCCATCTCCTCCCCCCGTCTCTGGTCTTCACAATCTTCCAGCTGTAGTGGTTGGCAGGGGCACCTTTCTCTACTGTGCCCCCCCTCTCTCGCCTCTTTTTCTATCTGCTACATTGATTTCCCATTCCCCCCTTTACTGGGTAATGGACATTAAGGCGGAAAACTAACACTTCAGGCAAATCAGAAAAACAGAGGACGATGTCCTAACAATACCTGACTGTACCCTATGTCTGTAACCTTCAACAACCCCCACCCTCCATTATGGATGCCAAACATTAAACCAGACACACATTCAGGACATGACATATCAGTCTATCTTGGTGGGCTATGAGTACAGATCACTGTGTTACCCTTTGCAACCCACAAGACTGCAGCACCCCGCTGTCACACTTCAGTGACGCGTAAATGACACCTCCTCTTGTTTGTTACCACACCCAAGAGAAATTATGTGCCAACCCTCAGTAGTTCAACTCCTCGTCCACCTCAAGACTGACACATAAAAACAAGCACAAAACATAAAACCAGGTAGCAGATAATCACATGCAGGTAGTGTTCAAATAGACTCCGGGCAAGCAATGTTACCTGCCTTTAGTGACCGTTTAGCAGCCGCACTAGACACAGGAATGAATCAACAAGGACAGGATAAGCACTGGTAAGATAGCAAAATATGTCTTACCGCGCTCTTCAGAGTTGATCAGGCTCTGCCTCCCCTGTGCTGATTGATTCCTCTTGCCCTCTCGGGTCGGCTGTCCGCCGGTTCACGACCCAAAGCCCCACGTTCCGGGCGCCAGCTGATTTAGTTCAGACTAAGTGTCCAGTGATTATCTGTTGCTGTCCTAATTAATCTTGCTAGCTCTATAGTGCGCGCTCTTAGAGAAACTCACACTGACACATATTCGGTCTGTGAAAACTTCTAGTTTATTATAATGAGAAAGTGAGCTTATATATGCAAAATGATGCAAGAGTCATGTGAGCGCTGCATTAGCATTATTGAGCTATATATTAGTCTTTGATTGGTCATTTCCACATGAAAACAATCGTCCTTCAGAATATAGGCATGATCCTCTCCTAGGTCTTAGTGCTAAAAAGAAATATTTCCTTTGTTCTCAAGTTCCCTCGATGGGAGGAGTTGCTGAGCAGTTATTTTTGAGTTAAGGAGGACTACAAAGACCAACAGGCAAAAGATATACACACAACATAGATATATATACATACAAAACATTTAGAAATATACAAATATAAAGGTATAAAAGCAGATATGTATAAAATATATAAAAAAAACAAACCAAATAGGCATTTTACCATATCCATCACAGTGTACCCATCACAGTTGCCTGACATACTGCCAAGATGTCAAAAAAATATTACTCTAATGAGGAGGCTTTCCAAATGCTCAGCATGATGGATGAGAGCATGATAGGCCCAGTACCAGCACTGGAATATCACGCCAGACCCCAAGAGTCAGGGCCCAAACATACCTCCCAGACACTCTGTCAAACCCTCTGTGGCTGCCTTCCAGCTCAGGATCAGCTACAATCCACCCATTCACCGCACAAACCAGGCGAACACAGAAATTTTTTCCCCAATTGATTTTTTTTAAATTTATTTTTCCCTGATAATCTCCTTCAATCAATTTTAGATCAGACTAACCTATTTGCCCAACAATATATCACAGATAACCCCAATTCATGCTATGCCCGTCCATTCGAGTGGAGATGGCTAACAGTAGAGGAGCTTAAATTGTTTTTGGGCCTTACGATTAACATGGGGCTTACAAAAAAATATGAATTACATTCATATTGGTCCACACACCCCATCCATCACATTCCCATCTTTTCATCTGTAATGTCTAGGTCACGCTATGACATGGTAATGCGCTCCCTGCATTTCAGTGATAATTCCCAGTGCCCTCCCCGAGATTAGCCAGGCTATGACAAACTGTATAAAATTCGCTGAGATTCAAGCAATATATTCCCAGTAAAAGTAAAAAGAAATGGAAATCAGCGCAAAACACTAGAATCAAGTCCAATAATTAATGGTAATAATCTAAATAACTTAGATTAGGAAGGTCCATAAGACACTAAGGACAAGCTTCATGTAGTACTGTAGCAGAACTCTGTGTAATAGCTATATAAATCCTGTATAATAATAATAATATAAGGAGAAAAGAAGCGCCTCTAAGTGCAGCAGAACCACTTTAATGTAGCATAAAATGTAGGAACACTCACATGTGTATTGAGTAAAACAGGCATGTTTGTATAAACCAGTGTGGAACGGCTGTGACAGGTGCCTGACATTAGAATTATATCATGACAACAATATTATACATACCAGAAATCATTTTAAACCTGTTTCAGGGAACTCATACCTCCATTTTACTAGCTGTCACCATCCAAGATGGATTCAAAACATCCCGAAAGGACAATTTTGTTGTCCTAGACAGAACTGCACATCAGATTTAGACTATCATTCCCAAAGTGATATTCTTTTAAATAAATTTAGAGACAAGAGTTATCCCCACACATTGGTTGATGAAGCTTGTTCCTTTTACCGTGAAGGAAAACTCTCCACATCTAACAAGAAGGGATCTCAGAATCCGTACAGATTTGTCACCAAATTCCAAAAACACTTTTGCAAAATGGAAAGCATTATTAATAGACACTGGGCAGTTTTATTACAAGATCCTCACTTGTTTGATACTTTAGACAAAAAACCCATTGTTTAACTTGTCCCTGTGGCCTTCTGTATGTAGGACTCACTATCAGACCACTTTGCGCCAGATTTGACAAACATCGTCGTCTGATAGAAGAAGGGAAAGATAAACATAGTGTCCCCCGTCATTTTCTTGCATTTCACCAAAAATCTACTGATGGTTTATGTTGCACATACGGTAAATAATTCAAACTGTGCGAAGGATGGGTCGGGTGAAACCAGAAGTGTTTTATTAGGAATGGCTGTAACAAACACAGAAAACCCTTAATTACATGTGACTGGTTATGTTCACTGTAATCACTGTCCTCTATACATTACTAAATATTTCCATATACATTAAGAAGTATTTTCATATACTTGAATAAACATCTTTAATTGCAATACTGAATATCTAGACCTCTGCAGATATGCTAATGACCTATTCTGCATAACAATAGCGTATTACAATAGAGAAATCACATTCCCTGTATCTTAGCGCCAAATCACATAGCTGCAATATATATTCACATTTATGCTACAAGTAATCTGATTGCATAATAGTAACAGCGACATTTACTAACCACCAGGGCATGTTAAGTCATTTTGTCCTATTTATCATGTTAAACAGCCTCCTGCTTACCTGTAACAAACACAGAAAACCCTTAATTACATGTGACTTGATATGTTCACTGTAATCACTGTCCTGTAGGGAAACAAAGTGTTAGACTTTTTGTTCCTACTTCTGTGTCTTCCTATTATCACAGGAAGTAGTTCTGCCCTCTTGTGATGGTACAATAAAAATGCAATCACTACTATCTTCTATTGACAAAGATATATTACTGTGTTATATTAGGTATTAGGCTTTGGATTTAAATTTTATGGGGCTGCCTATTTTCTACACCTCTTACACTCTCCCCACAAATTTGTTATGTCGTCCCTGACATACGCAGAATTTTTTTAAGAAAACATTCTTTTACTTGTCTAGTAGTAACCATAGGAAGCCAATGGTAAGTAGTAACCAAGTTACTTGAGGAAACATCCTCCCTGTGACATCCTACTCCCTATTACATCACAGCTTCCCACCAGGCCCACAGCGGTATAGTACCTGGCAAGATATAGTTGCGTGTACCAACTATTTAGTAAAACCCCCTTTCTATACATATCTGTATAGGTTACTAAGTTTAGACAAAGGTGACGAGAAACTAGGGAACATCTTATTACTTTTATACCTTTTTATCATAATGGCGGAATACCCATTGTACATCAACAATACAGCATAACGTTGCCATCAACTGTTCTGTACTTTTATCGGCCGACTCTGTCTCTTTGTAACATCTAGTTCCCTCACCTAAAACTGTTTTCTGCCTGACTTACAATATCTGCAGTACAAATGCAATTACATTTTTCCTTACTTGAACCAACAGAAAAGTAACATATAATTATTCTGGTTTTTGGTAATTAACTTTGGTATAGTGTCCCAAATAGTAAACAATGGATCAAATAAACATAATCACTTCTACCAACTTTATAGTCTTCAGCAAAACATTCTGAACTGAAAATACCAGCTAGAGTCAACAGGTAATGTAGGAATACTGTCTATAACCTGTATAGATGAAACTCTGGTAACACTACTGGGTTGACCTAAAGTGTCATATGTCAAAATCTTTGGTTGTCTCCTGTTCCTGTAGGGTTGTATTCTACATTGAGGAAGTGAATCTGAAAGGTCCTCATTCTCCTCTACATCACTTTCAACAAGTTGTTCTGTGTTCTCTGTTGCTGGGCATTCTTCTTCTATAACCTCCAAATGCATACTCAGTTTGTTCAATTTGATCTATAGGCTCAGTCTCTCTGACTCCTTCTACATCATACTCACTTACTTCCAGCTGACGTGGGTAGAACTCAATAGCTTCTGGATTTAGCTCTGTACTTTTCTCTGAGTGGTCATGTGCTGGGTGACTGGTATGAAAGATCTCCAGTTTCTTTGTTCGTGATCTGATTCATTTTCTGATTCTCCCTCAGATATCTGTGTAGGTTGTTGAGTTGTATTTCGATCCTTCACTTGCTTTCTTGCATTGGTTCTTTTGGGTATCTGTTGACCTTGGTCACTAGGTAGATAATCACATGGCAATAGTAAGTTGCGATGTAAAATCCTTGTT